AAGAAGGGAGTTTCCCATTCTATAAGTGTGCTGCTGGTTTCTACTGCCCAAGTGCAGCACCCTGCACTTGTCAGTATTGAAACGCATCCTGTTTATGTCAGCCCACTCCTGTAACCTATTCAGGTCTTGCTGCAGTCTTTCCCTCCCTACTAGTGTGCTCACCTCACCCCAAATTTTGGTATCATCAGCGAATTTAAACAGGTTGCATTTCACCCATCGTCCAAATCGCTGATGAAGAAATTGAACAGCGCAGGCCCAAGGACCGAGCCCTGGGGGACTCCGCTGCCCACTTCCCCCCAGGTTGAATATGACCCGTCCACCACCACCCTCTGAGTACGACCCTATAATTGATTGAGTAAAAAATTCTGGGTTATTTTTGGTGAAACTAGGGTATCAGGCCTGGGTTCAGGAGCCAATCCCCCATTTATAATATTGTTCCTATGGGGAAATTGGTTTCGAGTTACAACGTTTTGACTTAAGACACATTTCCAGGAACCAATTGTGTCGTAAGTCCGAGGACTGCCTGTACCGTAAACTCCATTTCACTCTCCCCCAATTTGCATTTTCTGTAAGGCCATGTTCTGGACCTGACTTTTACTTCTGCCTAAGCTGGATTTGGTTCAGGAACAGGCAAGAGAACAATGGTAGGCAACGGTGTCCAGGTGAAAAGCCCAGCCTGACTGTAATTCTGACCTGACTACCGAGGGCCTACCTACAGAACAGCAGCACCCTCTCCTCCAGGCTATGTTCCTTGAAGCAGGATAAATGGGACAGAGTGAAATGCAGAATTAGGCCTTCTAACTCTTAGTTCATTATTCCATCTACCTACTCAGCGAGATGTGCAGATATGGACTCAGGGAAGAAGTGTGCCTCCCGGTGCTTATTATTGCCTCTGAGAGCCAGCTACGCAGGTCACCATAGATATTTGAGGGGAAAGGTGGCTATGGACTCTCACTCCTTCTCATTATCTGGAATGGAAAAGGACGCATGTTCTGGGGGTGCAGAGTCCATGCTCCCCTAAGAAAATGGACTATGGCTGTCCTTAGCCCTTGTGCATTAGATGTATATAAGAAGGCCCTCCTCCTGCTCTCCCCAAACCAGTGTAATTGTTCCAGACAGGAACAAGTTGTCCCTTATTATTATAATTGCAGGCCCCAAAGTATCTTATTTTCTCTTGCTGATTCTCTATGCAGCCCAGCGGGTACAAACACATTGTAACAGTCACAGGAGCTTTCTATTTTAGGTATTTCTAAGGCTCTTAAATAGGCTGGCATAGCTTGAGTACTGGTCAACAAGGAAATCTAATTCAACTTTCTGTTAAAGTTTCCTTCCCATATCTGTTGTGAAAAGATGACATTTAAAATGGGTAGCATTGTGGTCAAGCTCCATATGTCTAACAGGCAAACAAGGACTTCAACAACAGAGTCAATAAAAGGAAGACAGAAAGAAGATGTAGTCATTCAATAAAGATACTCAACAAAAGCAGGTAGGAACCAAAACTGGGATGAACATGCTCAAGTTAAAGGAAGGCGAGTGAAGATAAAACATGGGGTTGAAGGAAAC